GTGGAGTATGTTTTTTGTTGTGGTGGGGGGGGGGGGGGGGGGTTCCAATTTATAATTTTATAGGTATGTCCTGTGAATTAATAAACTTGTATTTATTTCAGCAAATGCAGCAGCAGAACACACAGAAAGTAGAAGCCAGTAAAGTTCCAGAATATATTAAGAAAGCTGCCAAGAAAGCTGCAGAGTTTAACAGCAATCTGAACCGGGAACGAATGGAAGAAAGAAGAGCCTATTTTGATTTACAGACACATGTAGGGTGACTTAAATTTATTATCCATGACAATAGGCAGCTTGTTTGTTTTAGTAAAAATGTCAGTGTTTTTGGTAAAGTTCTAATGCTTATCATCCTATTCACTTGTCATTTTGTTTTAGAAAAAATGCCATATTTACCTGAACTGAAGATGATCCTGAATTCCAGACACTCCCCTCCCCCCCAATAATTTGATTTTATACATGACAAATGTATATATTTGCTATAAATTTTCATGTACAGAATCTCATTTTTGGTGGATCGTCTCAAACTTGTCCTCACCCAGATTGCATTAAACTGCTGGCCCAGTGGGGAAAGCATGGTAGGAGGGGAAGCAGTGGGGGGGGATAGGCAGCTTGCCCTTGCCATCTGCCCCCCCATCCCCACATACTCACCTCCCCCTTTCCCCCTCCCCCACCAATCAAAATATTTCTGAAGAGACATTTTAATGTCAGTGTTATTTGGTTTAGAGATGAGGAATAAGTGACATGACAATAATAGAATGTAAAATAGCAAATAGAAGGTCAAGTTATTTATTGCTTCTATTACCATTCCTCCTAATACAAGAACTAAGGGACATCTAATGCAGTTAGAAGGCAGCACATTTAAAGCTGATGGGTTTTGGGTGGTTTTTTTTTACAAAATCATTACTATATATAACTAACGGAGTGACAGTTTCCATGAAGCAATTTTACCTGTTGCTTGGTGAAAATAATGTCTACCAGGGACATTTGTCACAACGTATTATTTAGATGTATTCCAGGAATGGTCACACATTTATATGAATACAAATATATTCCACATTTCCAGTGGAAGGATACAAGTATATATCAACTTGTATCAGAATGCAAGCCATTCTCTACTGTCTGTCACAGCCCAACAGCCTGAATGCAGTTAAGCAGACATTTTTTTCCATAGGCAAATTTTTGCATAGTGAAGCATTATAGGGATTTTAAGCTCTTCTGACTTTGGTCTCTGTCAGAAGCTGAATAGTGGGTCACTGATCTGATCTTGTTATGACTGTTCCTGTGCTTTTCTATTTGTTTCTCTTATATTAACCTAATGGCTTTGTATACAACAGTGCTTTTAGTGCTAGGTTTTCTTATCATCATTACCATTCACCATCACACAGGAACAGCAACATTTTGTTTTAAAGATGTCCCACATAAAAACTAATTACATACCATTTGAGCTTCTAAGTAAAGTTATTTAAAATTGAATAGGAAGGAGTATTTTTTTTACTCTATCGCATTACACAGTCTTGGTGCTATAAATGAGATTAGGGTTTTATATATCCATCATACTTACTAGAAATGTATTATTTATATTTGATATAGAATTTCATTTTGTTAGTAAAGCTCTAAAATATTATATTCCGTGAAGTGCTAGAAAGCATGTGGGAAACCTAACTCGACTCTTGTAACATAATAAAGAGGAAGAGATTGTATGAGATGTGTATACAGAGAGAGAGAGAGATCTTATCCATATTTGAATATGGGAAAAAAACACTATTTTAAGAGAAAAAAACGTTGTGTGGAAAATAAAATTGTGTTGTATCAATGCAGATTATCCAGGTGCCTCAAGGAAAATACAAAATCTTACCTACTGAGAGAACAAAGGTTAGTCCCTATCCTGTGGCTCTCATACCAGGCCAGTTCCAGGAGTACTACAAAAGGTACTTTGAAAGTATAAAAGTATGACAGTATAAAAGCTTTTGTTTTATATTACATGAATCTACTTGCTGTATATTCTACAAAAAAAAGGAATGTTTATTTTAAAATATCTGAACTGATTTTATGCTCATGAGAACTGATTTTATGCTCATGATATGTTCTAGTCTGACAGCCCAAAAAACTAAAGTCTCCTGTTCACAAAACAAATATAGCAGTGGGGACTGAAGTGCAAGCTGCTTCATACTGCGGTATCAGTGTACCTCAGTATTGTCTTGGAAGGACCAATTGAACACGTAAAAGGAGTAATTTAGTCTCCATGTCCAATAAGTCCTTAGCATCTATCTGCTAGTCCACAGGCCAGATCCCACAGTTGGATCTGGCCTGTAGACAATGGAGCTTCAGTGGCAGTTCTGCTTTCCCCCACAGTGCTGCAGCAGGGAGGTAAAATGCTTTCTTAACTGATGATCAAAACTGTTATGCAAGTGCAAAGTGATTTCCAAACTGTTGTCACCAAAAAGGTCATGCCCACACCTAGGAATATTTATTGTGTATTGTCCAGATTATAAATCAACCCTAGATTTTCAGATTCAGTTTTAGGAAAAACAGCTCTTTACCCATACTTATGGTTTTATATTCAGAGGAGGTCCTTGAACTGCAGCTATCCTTACAAAAATCCCACAGGAGAATCTGAAGACATTGAAAACATCCCACTCCTGATTTAGTAATTGTATTGCATGCACAAAAATGCTAGCAGTACCCAAGTCAAGATTGTTGGGGGCCTTATTAAGGTTGATTCAACATGTAAGTTGTGCAATTTTTATGTTCTTTTGGACAGAAAAATAAAATGCAAGTTATAATTGAAATAATATGGTATATTTCCCATTCATCCTTTTTAATATACACTAAAATTAAAATTTAATATTAAATTTAATATACACCTTACTTAAAATATCACAGCTACAGAGGCAGTTCCTGAAGGTTGCAATTTAAAAAAAAAAATGTTTGATGCATTGGGATGTACTAATCCTATGGCCGTAAATTTCATGTGCATTTAAAATGAAAGGATCATTTTGGTGAAACGAGTGCACAGTCATTTCTACAGGATCTTCATTCCAAACAAAAATAATTTGAAATATGCATGACAGTATAGTCAGTGTCTCAGAAACTAGAAACTTAAAAAAAAAAAAAGTAATCCCCCCATGTGCAGATGAATCTTAAATCTTTCTGTATGTTTTATAAAAGAAGTCAAAATATTTGAAAATGCTTATCCTTAATTGGGGTGGGGGGGGGAAGAGGAGGAGTGCAGCATTTATAGTATTGAAAAATAAAAGATGCGTATAGCATACCCTTTAAGCTGTCCCAGGTCATAAGCAAACCATGCCAGAAACATGCCAAAGTCTAGATCAAGTTGAAACTAAACAGATGCTTTAAAAAAATCATATATTCTGGAACCTGGCTATACAGTGCTCTGGTCTTTACTATTTAAGTTTGGAACTTGATTGAAAAAAATATAAAGAAAATTGTAAATGTGTCTGTACAGACACCAGATATTTATAAAATAAACTACATGGCCTCTTGGTTATAGTAACCCAGCTTGTATTGAACCCTCCAAGAGCTGTCAGTGAACATGTTGGTATGGAATGTCTAAATTTGGCTTTTGGTATGATCCGTGAAGTGAGTTCTTAATTAATTGTCGTGATCCCCACCTTCCAGTACAAATATAAGTGTAGTTGGTATACCTGTTTTCATCAAGTTTCTATTCTATATTAATTTGATTGGGGTGGGAAAGCTATTCTAAGTTTGTGAGGTGGAACAGAACACTGAATGAAATACACACTTAATCTGTCTCCAGGAATGGAACAGACAGTTGCTTCTACTCTTTCTTCTGTACTCATCTAGTCCTTGGTCTGTATCTGATCCCTTTGTCTTCAGTGGCATTCTGCATGGACAAAGGGCTTCAAGGTCTCAGATTCTGATGGAGAGCTGGAGACCTAGAAAGTTATTTCATTCAGTTCCATATGACAAACAGAACACAAAATTGAAACTCTGGTTTCTGAAACTCGGCTTCTATGTTAATTTTTCTCGGATAGTTGGAAGACCTACCAATAGGTTGCTCAGACAGCAGAAACTAAAACCTGATCCAGGTTCACTGAAAATGAATGAAAGACTACTACAGTCTTTAGGGAAATTCGTATTGGATCTTCATTCTTAGTATGTTAGGGAACATGCAGTTCATGGGATTGGTGGTAATTTAAAAAAAAATATAGCAACATGTTATCTGAAATAGGGCAACAGTTATGACAGAAGGATGAGGTGTTGGTATCCTGTGTTTGCAGAACTGTTTATATGCCTAAGTGTGCATGCAATTTTGGTGATCGTACTATTCGTAAAGGCTGTGAATTTATGCAGATTTAAATTATTTTTTAACTTGCACTTAGATGCTTATATTCCCTTTACAACAGTTAATTTAATTATTTTTGGCTTCAGATACTCCCCAGATGAACTTCGTTATTTGCCATTAAACACAGCCCTTTATGAACCACCTTTGGATCCAGAACTGCCTGCACTGGACAGTGATGGAGATTCGGATGATGCAGAAGATGGTAGAGGTGATGACAAACGGAAAACCAAAGGCAATTCGGTGAGATTAACTGAAAGGTGTTCTTCAGGAAAAAAAATACCATTCTCTCTCTTTATGAATGGTTGGTTTCTGTAGTTGCTTCCCTGACATCTTTAACATCTCTTTCCAGTAGAATTTAGATTTTTTTTTTTGCTTCCAGCTCGCTTTATTTTATCAAAACAAATCACATTTCATATTCCCACATTCATTTTATTGAATCATTGCTTATTGCCAGTTAAAAGAAATATACATCAGTTTTGGCTGATGTCATTTTCTCAATGTTTAAAGTAGGCTTACCACACAAACAAATGTAGCTGAGATTTCCCATTATTAAAGTGTCTGTTTCTCTTGGCAGCCAACTTCCAGAAGCACATTTTTGTAGTTCAGTGAGATCCCAGTGTAAAATCTATAATCCATTTTAAAATGGTTTAATTCGACATCTTTATATGTTGAGTAGCCAAAAGGCTGAGTATAGTCAAATACATGAAAATTTTGTTTAAATATTCACAGTCAATTTTTTTTTATAACTAAAGGGGGAAAACACTTTTATTTAATTCAGGCTGTGTGTTTCCATTTCCTTTTTTCTGCACTTGGTTCCTTCCTACTATTTGGTGTATAGTTAAGGATATGGGACTGGTCAAACACTGTCTCTCCCAGGGCACAGTACTGCACGCAGCCTTCAACCAGGAGGTAGTTCTGAAGTTAGAAGGAGCAGGGAAAATTGGAGACAGGGCACCTTGTGGCTCTATATGTGCCCTGCTGATGGCTATATTCTTTATTGGGATTAGGCTGTGATTAGTAAAATTCTTTCTTTATGAAGACAGGTATAGCTTTTGGAGTAGGGTGGAATCTCTATCTTTGGGAAGACCTAGTACTCCTTCCACGTTAATCCTGTCCAAGGAGAGAGTTTCGCATGTTTGTGCCCTGCTTCTTTCCCAGGGTTTTAGGGTGTCTGTCAGCTTTCCATCTCTAAACCTGCTGACAGTTTCAGGAAACTCCGTCATGGCTTCCATTTCCCAACAGTTTCAGCTGAGTTGTCTTATGTTGCCTGCCCCTCTGAAGGAGCTCAACAGCAGTCTTTAAAAAATGTGAGAGAAGATACATCTCCTTCCCCTTCACTTTCTATTCAGTATCTCCTACAAAATGTCCTTCAAAAAAACCCCAAAAATAAAAACACCCACCATGGGACATGTCATTTGCTATCATTATGTAGTTTGCTTTGCTTGTGTGCTGTATTCCTTCTGTCACCTTGTGTCTATCTTGTCTATTCAGATTGGAAGCTTTTCAGGGTATGTACTACCTACAACTGAGGTAAAATGGTGCCTATTACTATGGGGCTCCATTGTTGGTTTATTGCAGGCACTATTGTAATAAAGTATGATTAGGAATATTTCTATGCTAAAGCATTTGGTAGGTTATGAGCATGTTCCCAAAGAATTTAAAATGACATCCATATTGATCTTTGGTATTCTGCCCCCCACCCTAAACATGCTTTAATGGCCGCAGCATAAATTATGGTGCATAGTTGTGTATAGATATTCACAATTACAGTGTTGGATGTATTTAATGGCATTTCTCTGCTGCAATCAAAAGTGAATATTCAGGTTGCACCTCAAGAGAATATGAAAAGAGGGTGGAAGAAAAATCTCATGGATGATACAGTTTGGTACTGCATTTTTTAACAGGTAGCACAATTTTTAGTTTTCTGTTTTGTTATCTGCAAAAGACACCATAAAAGTGGAACATTTAGCAAACTGGTAAAATTGTTTTTCTTTTGCCAAATTTTTAAATGAACATTTTTATAAAGAATAAATACTGTTGTACTCCCTGCTCTTACATCAGGTTCCTTTGGAGAATACAGGAGCCTTTCTGCTGGGATTACAAGGAGACAGAACATTCTGTATTTAAATACCCCCCATGCTTTTATAGACAGTCTAGTCTTTTTTTACCTAGTAGGTTTGACAGCTTAGAAAAGACTTGTGCCTCTATCCAAAAAAAAAAGATATCATGGTATTTTTATTATAGGACAATTCATCTGGCAATGTATCTGAAGGGGATTGCGTCACTGACAACCAGGAGGATACTTTTCAGGGAAGACAAAAAACAAGAGACAAAAGTGCTACTCCAAGAAAAGATGGTTCCAAACGTTCTGTACTGTCCAAATCAGTTCCTGGGTACAAGGTAGAAGAAAAAAGCCCCTGATTCAGCTTCTTTACTGACCAGCCTCTCTCCCTGAAATATTTAACTTCTGCTTTTCAAAAATATGGAACTTCTGCTTGCTGTACTTCACTAGCTGCTCTCCTGTTGTGTGCTCCATCTGTTTGCTTCCTTCCTTACTTTTTGCTTTATTTCACTAGGGGTTCTTCTGTTACCCTGGCTACAGAGTGGCTTCTATTTCTGTGTCTTATCTGATTTCTGAGCAACTATAGCACAAAAATCCATTGCTGTTGCCAAAAACACCACCTTTAACATACCAGTCTGATTTACTTGTCAGTGTAAAACTGGCATTAAGTATTAGCTGTTATTCTTACTAGTATGTATTATAGCAGCAGGCTGTGAAATCAGCGCTGTAAAGTGCAGCTATGTGGCTGAAATCTGTATTATAATATACTCAAACAGTCTTTCATCTTGAAGACTGACCAAATGATAACTATGTATAGGTATTACTTCATATAGCAACAAACATTGGCCACCTCTAGAGTGGAATGCAAAAACTAATTACAGTCTAAGTAACACTACACAACCGCTTAGGACAGGATATGGAGAATATCAATTTGTCCAGTTAAAGGAAGAATTTTGATAGGTAGAATGCTTTATACAGGCTAAAGCTTAGCTAGAATTTAGGAGGCATGTTAGCACCTACAAAACAATGGTTAACAAATCCAGGATACAATCCTCAGCATTAATAATTTAACACTAGGGTTTAAAATATTTTAGGAGAAATTCAAAATTATATGCATGATTTAAATATGTTTTATGGACTTGCATATAGACAAATGATTTAGGTGTAATCTAATATGTTTAAATAACATCTTGCCCATCCCTGCTTGTTTGTAACTGTTAGCAAACTGATTTCCAGGGGAGCAGGTTCAGGCCCCTGGTGATGAAATATGTACCAGCAAGGAGAGGTGTAGATTAGCAACTGTGTTTACTGGTGGGGGGGGAACGACTGTTAAGAAGCAAGGTTTTTTTCTGTGATGACAAGATTATATAGTCTAGAAAGTCTTGAAGCAGCAAAGGTAAGATGCTGGTAGTCTGAATTTTATATCCAGGATTGTTTGCTAACAACAAAAAATGATCATTCTTTAATTAAAGCAACTTTACATTGTATTAAGAAGGTAGTCTCCAACACAAATTGGACAGCTTCAATTAATTGGGAAAGATGTTGATTGATCTGTTCTGTGACAAAATAAATGCATTTTCTGCATTTATAAAAAATATCAAACTACAACTTTGTTTCCTCCTTTTAAGGATTTTACTAAGAATTATGCAAATTCCGGAGATTATAAGTGTTGTAGTAGACCTATATTTTAATATAAGTCATTTTGCTAGTTATTCATTGCAGATGCAAACTCCTGCCAATATTTGTAAAAACATGAAATCCAAAGATGAAGCCTGAAGAAGTTTTAGCTTTGTTTAATATTACATTAGAGATTGCGCGCTACTGATTGACAGAAGAAGGTGCTTCACTTGGGTATGAGGGCAATGACATACTGTCTATTTGATTAGTTTATTCTATTTAGTGGCCTTTTGAATGTTTAGAGAGGACTGGTAAAACAACCGTTACTAAGGTTCTGAACTCCTAAATGTAGAATTGTACAGGTAAGCCAGTACTACAGTTTGAAAATGGACCCTAATGGCTATTATCTGCTAGTTAAAAACTACCAATTATGTTAATAACGGAACAATTAATGTGACTAGTTTGAAAACTTACAATGCCAAAGTATTTTTGTGGCACATCGTCACAACTTCAGCGTACCTTGTGTTACTGAAAAGTGATGCTTCATACTGATATCTTAGAGATGATAAATGTGCATTGTTTTTTGTTGGGAGCATTTAAATATTTCAATATACCCTATTATATGAAGTAGCATAATTGATTTTTGAACATTCTTGTTAAAGAGTTTGTCTGTCAAACAAACAAACAAACAAAAAATTGACCATGTATTGATACACCAGAATGTGCCTAAATGTAACCCCTAAATGTAAAGGCACTTTAATTTAAAAGCTATAAACTGCTTTTAAATGCCCCTTTGATGTTTTTGGTAATATTTTGATCTGTATCATTCATTAATTTTGTCCTTATTTCGGATAGTCATCTTTAGGTTACATTTCAAGTAAAAGTGAAGGATAATTGCTGTGAAATCAACATGCAAATACATAGTTATAGTCAGTACAGTAGAAGTATTACAGTGGAATTCCCAAGATTACCATTTTAAGCAGGAAAATTCATGTATTTTGTATTAAGCCAACTGTATTAAGCATCATTTTTAACTGAGAATGGTTAGCATGTGGTTCACATTTCATGTGTCACAAAGTCTTTGTGACAGCAGTTAATGCAGGACCTGCTACTACAATTGCGCTCACAGGTTTCTGTTCTCAAAGTAGACATATTTTTGTATAGTAAGCTGAAATGCATTGGGATACTAGGTTCCCCCAAATACTTTTGGTTTGTGTTCACTAAATATAAAAATGGGGAATGCCTTGTGTTTAGGCAGTAGGGCTTCATAAAAAACTCATGCTTATCTGACTTGTTGGCGTACATGACTTGAGACTGAGCTGCAGCGCAGAAGTTAACATTACAACAAAAATGAAATGGAAAGTAAAATGTAGAATAGTCACATGGGATATCATGATTTCCTATTAGGTGTAGACTTTTTCTAGTATTCCCCAAATACCATTTAATTTCTTTAAGATGGTAGACTAACTTGAATTGCTTTGAAATGTGAATAGCTTTGTTTAGTTTTTGTTTGTTTTCACCTTTTATAAGAGAGTGCTTCCATGTGGAGCGCTGTCTGAGTTTTTAATATATTGTGATTTCTTCAGTCTTTCTAGTGAACACAAGTTAGTGGAATGGGAGTAGAGAGAAGTATTAATAATAAATACACTTATGTCAGTCTTTAATTTTAGAATTATATGTATCGGAGTATTAACTGCACATACACTAACACAGGTACAGTAACCCAAAGTTAGTTCACTTTAGTTTTGGTGGAGTGAGAGGGAGTTTGCTGCTGTATATTATGGCAGCAGAATATGAATTCATAACAGAATTAGAATTTGGATTAGAGAAGTGCACTTGCTATTTTAGAGAGGTTTGTTTTTTTTTCTTACATATGGGTAAAAATACAACAAAAACCTTACTCTTAGAATGTAGCAGTACACAAGAGGGTAAACACTGCGAAACTGATAAGGTTTAAGCATGTGCTACTATCCTTTTGTTGGGAAGAGCAGGGTATAAAAGGTATACATGTAGGATATGTAGAATAGTTAACAGTAAAGATTTTATATGTATGTTTTCACTTCCATGATATTTATTATTCTGTAGAGACATTTGTGAATGTTAGACTTCTTTTATCATTTTATTATATTTATGTATAAAACAGGTTGACTCTGCTTTTTTTAAAATAAATAAGCAAAAAAAGTCTTTATGAATGCCTCTGTCATCTTTTGAAAAGGAAGTTACTCTTTAAACACCTATTGTGCTTTGTTTTTTGTTTTTAAATCTTCAAGCCAGACAAGTTAAAGGAGGCTTCAGCCACATTTTAAGATCTAAAGGAGATTTAGTAAATTTAAAAAAGTGTTCTGGCAAATTAAGATTGGTTAAATATATTAAATTGTATTGGCAAGTGTTAGAAAAGTGATGGCTGATAAAGTAAATGTATTCAGAAGATATTGTCCCTTTTTGAATAAGGCCTACTGAGTGCTTTTCCCTTTTCAATAGTTGTGTTTTCCACTTCCATTGTTATTACTACCATCTTAGCTTGAAAAACACTACCTCTTTCTATTTGGCAACTTTTTCTCTTTATGGAACACGTCCTGTTAAAAGTCTCTCTATCCTCAATTCAGAAACACACAGACTTTAAAAATATCCAGCACTTACAGATTTAAGACCAACAAGTGATATCAATTCAAACTCTTATTTCTCACTAATTAAAGTGCATTAAACTGTAGTTGGTCATAGTGGACACAACAACTTAGTGCGCCCTTGATAAAGTAGTTTTGATGCCTTATTACTGCTTTTCATCAAGGTTAAAATTAGTGTTTGGTCACAAACGTGCAACACAGTTCTAGTAATCTCACAGGATTCAACCCCCTAGAATTCCTCTCTGACTTTCAAGTAGATCTGATGGATACAAACAGGCACTTCCTTTCTCACCTCATCTTAAGTGTAAAATTGTAGTTATAGGTACATATAAGTGTTCTCCATAGCAACTACAACTATAACTTTGCTTATAGGATGTGGAAAAAAGAAACAAAGAGCCTGATTAATGCAGAATGCATCCAACTTGTCAGACAAATACTTCGGAATTTAAAGCTATAAAAATTAGATGTGAAGTTCTTTTTGACAATTTAGTGTTAAGCTGTCATGCACATGAATTAAGTATAACTTGTGCATTTCTAAAAGGATATTTGTTTCTCCATACATATGGAATCTTATGAATTTGAAGACAGATACGATCTTTCATTCCTTCAACACTTGAATGATTTTTTCTTAAAATATCATCAATGATCTATTGCATTCATTTACATTCACTATTAAATGAAAAGTTAGCTGATAGTTTATAGAAGAAAACTTGCCTACTCTCTTGCTCTGCTTAGTTAGTTGCAAAATGATTTTACATATAGCTCATGGTACATCTGCTCTAAAACTAGTTTTATGCCTCTATGATTTTAAAATAACCACTTTATGTTTTAAGATTTCCTTCAATCACATCAAACAGAAAGCTCATTTATTTGCAAGAGTTAAGAAGATGCATTAAATTTCCTGTTAAATCCATTAAAAGTTCTTCTGGCAACAATTTATAGCCCTCTTCTACCCTTCCAGCCAAAGGTCATTCCAAATGCTATATGTGGAATTTGTCTGAAGGGTAAGGAGTCCAACAAGAAAGGAAGGACTGAAGCACTTATTCACTGCTCCCAATGCGACAATAGCGGTAAGTATCTATGTATGCTATAATGGGATTTTAAGGGGTTTTACTTGACAAATCTTAGTAGAAATATTTTATATACTGTATTTGCATACAAACAATTGTCACCTTAAGAGTGATTCTTTCCTTAGTTTCCTTCAAATTATACTTAATACAGTATACTAGCACATATATTGCACTTGAGTCTCTTAGGTGAGCTAACTTAATTTTATGAAGTAGCTAATACAGTAGATAATAATAATTATTTTAGAATTGTATAAAAATACTAGTAATAATATTGATTTTAATCTAGGCCACCCTTCTTGCCTTGATATGACTCCGGACCTTGTTGCCATGATTAAGACTTACCCTTGGCAATGTATGGAGTGTAAAACATGCATTATATGTGGACAGCCTCATCATGAAGAAGAAATGATGTTCTGTGATGTATGTGACCGTGGTTATCACACCTTTTGTGTGGGGCTTGGTGCTATTCCTTCAGGTAATGAAGAAAAACTAGTCTCTCTCCTTAAGTGCTTGGGCTTCCCTCTAGGGGTGGGGGGCAGACTAAGATGAGCATTATGTCAATGCCTAGTGTAATAGACATTCACTCCAAAGACAAAACAGGTTTTGTGGGGGGTTTTCTTTTCTATTTTTAAAAATTATTTATATATATGTAATCTACATGAAACTTAGAAATTCACCTCAAGAAACAGGCAGAAGCATGTTGTTTACCTTAAAAGTGTCTTTGCTCGAGCCTAATTTGCATACTTGCAGAGCAGCTTTTCACAACTGAACTTTTCCAGCCAGGAGTCCCACAACATCCTTCAGCTGTCCTAACCAATATGAAGTGCTATTTCTTAAAAGAAAAAAAAAAAGCCCATGTAAACTGTGTTGCTGCATATTGCTGGAGCACCTTCAGCACTGTTTCAAAAGCTTAATAGGAGCATAAATGCTTTATTAAAAAGGAAAAGAAAAAAAAAGGTTTGCATGGTCCATTTAGTACATATGAATACTATGACTTCCTCCACTCCACCTAGGTTCTTTTTTTTTAACATCACGTTATAGAGCTGAGACAGGGTGTGCGCCATATGTAGTAAATTTACACCTCCTTTAAACAAGTACAAAAATAATGCCATTTCTGTTAGGTAGTATTTTACCCATTTTATGCATATGGTGACATAACACAAGGCAGTGGTCAAATCGCAGTTAAAGAACTAAGCAATTGGAAGTACTCTCAAAATCTAATACTAAATACAAAATCTAATACTAAATAAATGATGCGAAATTTAGGTTAATTAATACAGTTAGCAGCTTTAAGTTCTGCAGTGCTGGCCCTCCCTGTATCAACAGTACTTTGAGTCCTAAAAAAGTCTTCTTGTAGTTAATTGGTTACCAGCTACTTTCAATGCTGCTGTATACTTCCAGACACCTTATGCGAGTAATTTAACTTCAAAGTTGTCCCACAGCAGCACTGTATGTTACACATACTAAACACAGTGCGGAAGTACTTGATATTGCTCTATAGCTACTAAGACCGTTATGCTGTGATTAAATACCACTTGTCTCATTTGTGAAGGAAGTAAAATGAAGTGTTTTATGTATGTCATTGTCTGCGCCGGAATCACCCTCTAGTAGTATTGGAGCTTCTACTGGACTTTACATGAATTAACGTATTAATACTTTGATTGCTTAAGAGACTCTCTTTAAAAGAAAAAGGTTAACTGGTTTTTATTCTGAATGGAATCAGAAGAGTGCAAAAAGTATTCAAGCACCTTGTAACAGTGGAAAATGTTTTTATGGCTCCTATGGCACCTATTCACTATTAACTAATGACAACTTTGCTTTCTTAGGTCACTGGATTTGTGACTGTTGTCAAAAAGACACCCCAGTACCCAGGAGAGGAGGAAGAAGGGGGAAAAACAGCAAAGAGGGATAAAAAAACCCAAACAGTTTGCCTTCCAATACTGTTAACTGCATAAATTAAAGCGATACATTTGGTGCTATTTAACCAGTCACTCTGTAAAAGGAACAATACCACTTTTTAAAAACCAAATAAAAGTTTAATTTTGACTATATAACAATTTTTTCTTTAATAGCAAGGTTATTGGCAATGTTCTGTCATAGCTGTTTAAAAGGAAACCTCACACTCCCACTGAAAATGGAAAACTTTCAAGGAAAGTCTGAGTAACTGCATAATCTACTGTATGAACAAGCTTATAGCAACACTTAAGAGATTCTGAAGAAGTTCTGAATAGCAGTAACTTCTACCTAAAGAGAAAGCTATACAACACTTATGCTATTTGTAGAGCAATCGATTTTATTCCAATAAAACAAAACAAATAAAACTTAAAAGATCAAAAAAGACTATTCAGATAAAAATTACTATTCAGATTACTGTTTGATATTCAATTGTCCTCTAACTTAAAAAACCACCAAAACATGATTTCAAAATTAAGACTATCTTGAAATCTTTTAGTGCATTGTAGGAAAAAGCCAGTCTGCTTTAGGAGCATTAAGTCCCAGCTGGAAAACAGTTATTTACTCTCCCGGGAGCCAGTGAATGGTTAAGCCAGAGATGTACTAATGACCATAGAGTGTGACTATGGAAGTAGCAATACGTTCATGGTTAGTAAATGCTCCTGAAAGGGTTCCTCTCCGTGTAAGACCCCTTCCCAAGCTTATGCTACAAATACAGGCTCAACTGTTTTTAGATGGAACAATGACAATGCCATTTACATACAACACAGAAAAACAGCTGAAGTGCTGCTTCCATCATACTCCTTCCCTGGAACAGAAAAGTCAACCTCTCTACACTAGAGGAAGGAAAGGATGAACATGAACTTTATTCAGGTCAGGATTCTCCAAAGCAATTAATGATTTTAGGATCCTTAGTTTAAATACTCATCGTGATGCTGATGCTGTGAAGCAGTCTGCTGAAGTGCTAATCAAATCACCTGCCACCTGAAAAAGTCAGACTCCTCAAAAGCTGGTTCATATTGGGCACCCCAAAAACTCTAGTCACTTCTGAAAATCTAGATCTGCTACTTCACCTGGTTTGTTACACTCCTTCCAAGTTCCAATGATCAGCCTTTTAAAGTGCCATTGCTCAAAGATTTGTTCACAGTGCAGACAGATTAGAAAATTAGTTCTTTATTTTAAATTGAGAGGGGATGTTAGAACTGCAGCTTCTCAGATTTTACAACTTTTCTTCATATAAAATAGTAATTTTAATAGAAAATACATTGAATTATCAAAGTCCATTTTTTTTCTAAAGCACCTATTCAAAGTAATGGAGAATTTTTATGAAGTTCCCTTTGTACATTCATTGTTCAACCCTGATCTATAAAGAAAACTATGAATACTGTGCTTGCTGTTCATTTTATGTATGGTAGGATTTACGACAGAAAGTTAGATATGGCTTTTCTTTTCCCCTCTCCAGCATAGAAAAGTTAACCCAAATACCTCTTCAGGAAACTTTACCAAAAAAAGTACCAATGCTCACAGCAAATTATTCATGTTCAATTTCACAGGTTGTAAGTGCACTAGCCCAGTGTGTATGTCCAGTTGGTTATTTTAAAAAAGAATTTCAAGTATTAGCTTCAAGATTCCAATAAATATAGTCCAAAAAACAGACTCTTCATCCTGAGTTTCATCTTCTGCTGAATGCAACTGTTTCTGGCTTGCCTCCATCTCGTCTCGGTTGTAGGAAGCCTCACCAAAGGGATATTGTACAACTGTTCGATCATAATATACTTTCATTTCAAATTCACTCTCCTGATGAGAGGGGTGACCATAAATTCCTATTCCTACTGGGCGACGGAAGTGTGCTGGTATGTGAACAACATCTTGGCCACAAGTTACAGATTGTAACTCATAGTCATCAAAGCTGGGGTGAAGAGTCATATCAGATACATACAAATCTGCATCACCTTTTAAGCTCTGCATCTGAAGCACGATCTTCCCCTCATGATTTAGTCTCAAGTAACTGTAATTTCCAGCTCCAATCTGACCTTGAACAACATGAAGAAGAATCCATTCTGCAGGAACATCTTCATCCTCAAAACTATTTACCATAAGCAACGCCTGAGCTGCTAGAAGCATCACCAGCATTCTCATCCAATGTGCTGCCATAACTCCCAAGTATGACATTAAACAAATTCTCGCATCATGTGTAAATATCCTGTTAACACAAAACATAATAATTCAGGTTCAGGATGTTCTACTTGTAGAAAAGGATCAGATCATTTTCCTGAAAAATAACCTCATTTCAAAATATTAGTCCAAGTAAAACTTAAGTGAAGTGTCTTTTACTGATGTTATTCATAATTAGTACCACTGGAAGGCATTGTGAAATTTGTATATTGCTATTAAGTTTGTGAGAAGGTAACAGTTGAAACTGGGAACTGATCAGCAAACACACTAGTTTCAGAGGTAAACTCAACAAGCAGGCAGACAGAATACAGCATTTTATTTTTTAAAATGCTGATGCACAGTACTGATTTTAGGGTTAGAAAGATATCCAGTTAAGAAATTCAACATGTTTGAGGAGGCTGAATTTTAGTTGGTTTGGGGTTTGTGTCATTTGTTATTTCATCCAAGTGACACGCTGATGTGCAGACTGAATGCATATGAAAGCATATAGACTCCTGTACTTTTTAAATGCAAAACTGCACACTTATAAAAGAAAAAAGTTAGTGGAAAGTCTATATCAGAACAAAAATAGTTTAAGAAAACACGTAGTTGTGTAAATAAGCATAAAGCTCAACTGACAGAAAACTCTTCTTAGGTACAGCTACTCCTTGCTTAACATTGCAGTTACGTTCTTGAAAAGTGTGACTTTAAGCAAAACGAGGTTAAGCAAATCCAATTACGTCACGGTAGTTACCTACTTGCAGGCAGTGGCCAAACAATGTTAAAACACTGTGTGACTGTAAATGAGTATGTTCTCTAATAGATCAGCAACATAATAATGAAACAATGTTAACCGGGAGGAGGTTAAGTGAGGAGTAGAATACCTGTACATCACTTCAATTCCAAGGGGTTTCTCATAGCACGTGTATGGTAGCTTGATTCTGTGTTACTGCCCTGTAGAGTACTGCACCACAAAACGCATGACTGCAAACAGGCATACATTTCAAGTGTAATTACTCTGACTAATTTTCTGGCCTGAAAAACAGCTGATCCTCTCTGCAGTTTCCAGTACCCTAGCTACAGACAGACATTTTAATGTTTCAGCTTGGCCGTAATAGCAATGAATCTCTGGTCTGATCTAGAGACTTCATCCTGTTCCACAAGCATGACAAGTTAGTTTCTGAACCCCAGTGCACAGTACACTTTGCATTATGGTAACACCCTAAGGCTCCTTGCCACGTACTACACAATTCACTAGGCAATCACGCAGTACATTTAGACCAGCCCCACTGGCAAAGTAAGATCTAGGGGTCAGAAAATGAAACTAGGAGGGAAAGTTCAAAACAAACAAAAGGAAGTGTGGAATTAAAGTGTGGCGCTCGTCACCAGACGTGCTGGAAGCTGACAGTTTAGTCCGATTCAAAAGAGGACTGGACCAATTCTTGGAGGGAAGGTGCAACCGGTAGGTATAGAGCGTAGGGATTAGGGACATGCTGAATCAACTTCTGGACCCAAGTGCTGGAGGCTGCAAGCCAGAGAGGGACAGTGCAAAAAGATAACCCTGATCAGACCCATTCACTCATCCTTTCCACATCCACTCTCTACCCCTGCGTAGCACAGGCCTATTGGACACACATAAGGCAAATAGGGCAAAAGTTAGCAGCCTCCCACTCCCATTAACAGAGGCAGTTACTGGATATGTGCCACCTGAATAGAAAGAAATAAAGCAGGGAGGGAGGGAGGGAGGGTGTCAGGTTAAGACGACTGCAGGAGTGGGGCACCAGGCACAGCACTTGCAAATCAGTGCGAAGTATCAGCGGGGAGTGCCCAGAGGCAGACAAGGGGCAGGGCCGCAGCCCCGCCGTCCCTGGCGCCCTCCCGCTCAGGTTGGGCTCAGGCCAGGAGCAGGCTGCCTGGGACGTCCTGGGAGTCGGCAAGACCAGAGGCAGCTGTGGTCTGACCCGGGATATGGCAGCTCTTATTTTTCAGACGGCTGCACGAGCACAGCAACAAGGACACCGCGAAAACGCCCGGGCGCCACGAGGAGCCCCCCCCCGGGAGGACCACGTCGGGGGGGGGAGTGCAGGCTGAGGACACAGCCCCATGGGGGGGAGGGGCGCGGCGCCAGGAAGACGCGGGGGCCGTGGAACCCGCCCATGTCACAGAGCGCCCTGGGGATCCCCCCGGGGGGACGGTTGCACAGGCCCCGCCCCCACCGCCGGGGGGAGGGGCCGTGCGGGCTCGGGCCCTAGCTCACCGCCGGGCCGAGCCGCCGTCACCATGGAGCTCCGCGAGGCAGGCAGGCACAAGAGAGCCTCCCGCCTCCTGCTCTCGCGAGATCGCCGGGCGCGGCCCGCCAACCAATGGCAGCTCGCCCCGGAGGGAGGGGCTGACAGGGTTACTCTGCCTCCCATGGCAACCGGATACGTATAGAGGACCGCAGTTCCAGGGACTGGATGCTCCCCCCCGATTCGGCGGGCCCCGCCCCTTGGCCCCTCCCCGGTGCGGGGTCACGTGATGTCACCTCAAGGCCTCTCTTACCCCTTCCAGCGCGTAACTCCGTCGCCGCGTTGTGGGAGCGTTCTGAGTTGCTCTGATTTTAAAAGTCCCCAATTTTCGGTTAAAAAAAAGTAACGCCAAATCCACGTTTCCATGATTAAAATGAAACACCACTAATATATAATATAATATAGTTATAGTAGTATTTCATTTTAATCATGGAAACATGGATTTGGGGTTACTTTTTTTAGCCCCCAAAATTGGAAGGTTTTTTTTTAAATGAGAGAAAACCAGGATCCCTGGATGAGATGACAGGGGCAGGTGCTGAGTGGGGCTGGCAGGATTTGCCCCTCCTGCTCTTCTCTCGTGCGGTTTAAGCTCTGGGACAGGGATTGGCAATGTTTTTGCCCCAAGTGCCCAAATCACGCCCACCTCCCCCACGGTGCCATGGCAGAGGGCGGTGGAGCTGCGGGGGGCCTGATCCTTGTTGCTGGCGGGGGTGCGTGCCACCCTGCAGGGCACTGGCAGCAGCGCGTGCACACGCACCTCTGGGCACATGGCGGGAGGGGCTGGGGTTGTGCTACCCCAGGCCCCTTCCTAGCCAGCATCCCCGGGGCACGCTGCTCCGGAGCCCGACGCAGCTGTTTGCAGCCTCCTGGCTGCATGCCACAGCTGACCTGGGCTCTGGGCAGCAGGGAGGCTGCAAGCAGCTGCACCGTGTAATGTATGCATTGTATGATGACCCTAATCCCTGGGCCGCTCTATATAAAGTGAGTAAATCCCTCTTTGGCTGTAGTGACTGTGCCTGGCACTCCAGGGGGTTGCTACAACCAGGCTCCAAAGGTGCCTATACGTCCAGGGAGGCTGCTCTGATGCACTGTAATTACAGCACGTTGGAGCAGACTCAATTAATTAAGTGTTTTGGAGCATGGTAATTATACTACACTCCAGCAGACTCCAGCATCTCATATATCAGTGTCCCCCCGCTGAAAAAGGGTGGCAGGGGCACTTTAACTAAAGCTTGTTAACTGCATAGCTAGCTAAAGTAATGTGCTAAAAGTTGGTCAGGCCATGACCCGGGTGGCCCACCCTGTTCGGTGGCCTATGGTGTAGGGGTCATCACAGTGGTCCACAGTTGCCTAACCTGTTACAAGGGGGTTAGAGAAGGAGTGCAGAAACTTCCCCAATCCCATCAAACAGGGAGGCAAAGAGAAGGGTTCAATCTCCTAGAGAATAACATGCACCTTCCATCAAAATTCATTTTTCATATGGTGGGGGGAGAAAAGGGGGAAGAGTTGTTCAGATATCCTCAAGGAGGCAGGGACCCCTAGATCCTAGCACAAGCATGAGAGGAGAGAAGATAAGGCTAACGTCATTGCCTCTCAACCCCTATTTCCTGTCTCACTCTTCCTGTTTCCTATAACTCCCCTCCCCTGACCTGAGCCTCTCCGTTGCCCTAGCATCCATCCCCATTTATTCTTCTCTTAATCCTGCTTCCCTTTACCATAGCCTCCAAACCCTCTCTCCCATTTATTCCCAGTCTACATGGGCCTGTCCCCTCTTCTCTTCCAGCAAACAGTTCATAGATGTAACTTATTTTCAAGAGTCTTCTGAACATTTTGTTGGTCTTTGTTTTACATTTCCCCAGAATAAATGAAAACGTTGGACAAATGCTGTTTTTTTTTTGGTTTTTTTTACTTATAGTGATGTAATCGTGGGCCTTTTCTTCTGCCAAGGGTTGTAATCCATCTGACATGGGCTGGGCGTAGATCAGGTTCAATGACATGCTCCCTTGTGCCTTTTTAGTTTATGTGCAATTTGCTTAGCTGGAAACCCTTTGAGCTACTCTGTCAGTGCATGCACAGTGTAATACTTTCCCTAGTGAGGGCTAGGCATGCATCTATCTATGGAGCCAAATACTTTTCTTCATACTGTTTTCAATATTTTCTTCCCTGGATGCAGTGTAGATGTTGTGAACTAGCTAGGGTAAATGTCAAGTGATTTAGACTATGTTGGGCCAAATCAGAGTTCAGGTCAATTCCCAGGTCTTCAAAGAACATATTGGTAGAATCCCCCCTGACCCAGCCTTCATAAGGCACACTAGCTGCCAAGTCTAAGGAAACATGGATTTTAGAGCACCTAGATTCAGCCTTTAAAGCAGTGCTTCTCAACCAGGGGTGTTACAGCACCATGGGGTGCCTTGAGATCCTTTCAAGTATGCTGCAAAATGCAATGCAAGACTAGGACTGTTAGGTGTGCAAACCCAGAGATTTCTAATAGTAATTAACAGTTGTCATAAACATTCTGACCCGATGGGGTCTTTCTGAATTCTTTGCAGCAGAAGAATTGCCCCATTTATTTTTCTGTCATCAAACTTGGAGTGAAAACTAAAAGCTGGCACTTTCTGAGGTGTGCCTTGAGTCTAAAAAGGCTGAGAGTAAGAGTTCTCATTTTTAACTATAGTAGAGCTGGCTGTTTGCTACAATAAACCTAATATTACTGCACAAGTAAATTTTAAATGCAATAAAACTAAACATTCTGATCCTGATGTCCTGTACTTGGATACACACTGACTTCAACTGAAATACTCTTGATCTTGATTTACTTCCAATGTAACTGTGAAATATACAAAATACAAAAACACAAAAATATAATTATATCATTCATTAATGTTGTCTCATTCTGGCTGAGGAGCAGGCTCTATGTATTTGAAAGCACAAAAAAAATGTTTTTGGCAGATCCTAATTCACATATTGTTTTTATCTGGCAGCATAATTTTACTTTTACAGAAATGGTCACATTCTTAGGTTTGAATACTATTTATCTGGTACAAGTGTTTTCAGTTTCAAAATATTTGTCCCTCATTACTGCAATTTTTGTGTAGCTAATGAAATTTAGAAGATTAAATTAGACATGTAAGAAAATAACATTTAGAATATGTGGCTGCTTCTTATTAGGCTCTAAGTGATTTGCTGAAATAATTATTAATTTTGTTAAATAAATTTGTACTTTCACAGTTCATCTAAGACAAAGTGAGAATTAGCTTGTTTACTCTCATCATTTTGATGCCTCTTCAAGTTTCTTAAAACGCACTAAATGTACAAAAAGCAGATGGTGCCTATTGGTAGGTGTCAGAAAGTTTGCTTTTTAGAAGATATTATTTTCATATTTTCTGTATTTCTCTTCCCTGGTCTTCATTATTGGTGATATTTGCATGTCATTGTGGCATATGGTAGTACTGCATATGTGTTTTAAAATGGAGAATAAAGAGCAAATAGAAATTGAATCAGCATTCTGTAGATTTAAAAAGGCAACAAAAGTATCACTCAAGTATATGTGATAAGACAGAAATCTTTACTAAATAAAATATTTTAATAGTCTTTCCTATAAGGCATTATGCATTTAAACAGAAGGAAGCTCAGTTAAAAGAATACTTATTAAAGAAATAAACATTTAGAAGTATTTTTGTACCAGATCAAAACAAAATTCTAATAATTTGCTAATAATCTTCTTGAGCACTAAAGATTAGAAAATTAGAAGTTGATGTTAACTTTGTAAAGTGTAAATCACTTTTTAAAAATCAATGCTGGTTTAAATAAGGATATGAAGTCTGTCATCTGTGAGGTCCTGTTTGCTTCCAATTCACACTTCCATCTGGTGATATTTTGGTCATCTATGTAACACGAGTCAATGATCTCAGTTTCTTTCCCAGTGACTGCTCCCACTTTGTAATAAGATGTCGTGCCAAAGAGCAAAAAGGCCAAAGAGTGAATGGAAACTGACTGAACGATGCTTTAATACTGACACATGCTCCCTCTAGTTCAGGACAGGACACACTGGGGAAGAAGCCTGGGGAAGCTTGTGCTGCCTTTTTGTGTTGCACTCTTATTCTGGGCTGTTAATCAAGCATTTGCTCAGAATGCTAAACAAATTATGTGTGTTTTAACTGCAAATGCCTTTTGTCATTTGCCAAAATTAAATATATTAGATTGTGTTTTTCTCTTCAACAAATCTAGCCATGACTGGTCCTATTAAAGGCAGTAAATATACATCAGTTTACACTAGCTGAAGATCTGGCTCATTATCTCAATACTTAAAATAACTTCAGAGAATAACTGAATGCAGTGCTGTCCAACTGGAAGCCTGTGGGCTGCATGCAGCCTGGGAAGGGTTAAGCTGTGGCTCCTGGGCTCTCTCCAGCTGCTCTGGCAGCAAGAGTAGCTAGAGTCTGTGGGCTCCCCTTCCCTCTTCTGGCTGCTGCTTCCTACACTTGGGGGGTGGTGCAGTGTAGGGAGCTGAGAGTGATTCTGGGCCATGTATGGGGCTGGGGTGAGGGACTGGGGTTGCAGGGGGGCAGCCATGGGGGAGATGCGTGGGAGGGCATATGGGGGTGGGGAGGGCACACACTGTAGTGATGGGAGGGGGTGCTCTTGTGGGCACGCAGAGCTGTGGCAGGGGGAAACGGCCCTTGCATTGTGTCCCCTGGGGACCTAGGAGTTGGACAGCCCTGATCTAATTTTACACCACATTACTAGCTGGATGCCTTCTAAAGTTTTCCAGTGTTCCTATATAAATTACAGATCCGGAGAAGCATCACTGCCATAATGCCAGTCCTGTCAGTAGTTTTACACTCCGTATTCTATGCAGGAATCAATTTGATGCACACACAATTTGGAGAAGAAAATTCTTTTATGACCAGGCTGTTGAGTCCAGCTCAACTTCTACTATTTTATCAACTCCAGCCAAATCTTCTCTTCTAGTTGCTGTTGATGGTGAGATAAGGAGAATTTAAAAGAAGAGTAGCTTCATCCAAAGTCAACAATAATCTC